CTCATTCAACTTAAGCTTCTGCTTCGTGTACTGCACAACAGTGTCAACTCCACATAGACAACCCGAGCATCATCAAGCACTTCTGAAATATGTTTTATGACTAACTTGGCCCACTTCAATGTCATTTAAAAACTTGACCAGAAGAGTGATCATGTTGTTGTGGAGTACACGGCAGTTAGTTTTTGTCTCAGTGAGAGAAGTCGGACGTGCTCATGTCCCCCTTGGTGTGTCATGAGATGTCAGTGACATCACGCATGAGCTGGACAAGCACATGCTCCCATCTCGGGCCTGTCGTCGGTGTTTGTGTGCGTGCAACTTGAACTGGCCCACACATTTGACAATAAAGTTGTATCCAATCCAAAGATTGACTGGTCAAATGCTTTTACATTGTCATGTTCGCTTTTCTGTCCAATAAATTGTTCAAGTTGAATTTGAGTCTTTGCCTTTCATGACCAAATCCATCCTCAGCTCACTCGAAGCCTTTTCAAAGACTGAAGTCTTGAGCTCAGACTTGCGCTTCAGTCCCATCAGACAGTCTTTTCACACTTTCCGTGGCATAACCACGCCCCATTTCCGCCAATCACAGCATGTTATCATCATGCTCCACCCACTTTCACAGCTATCAGCAAATCATCAGTCATCATTCCAGCAAGGCCACACCCACTTTCCTGGATTTTTCTGCCTGGAAAAAGAAAATCCAGGGAAAAAATTTTTGGAAAACATTTTTTGAAAAAAAATCAGAAAAAGTTTTGAAACAAACTGAAAATGATTTTGTTTATTATTATTATTTTTTTTTTTTTAAGGTGAGGCCCCTTATTTGCATAACCACAACCCGAGATTTGCATAACCAGGCCCACTTTCCAAGTTCTGACCAATCAGATTGTTCTAAAGTTGCATAACCACGCCCCCTAATGAGGCCACCAATCAGAGAATGCCTAATATGCATAACCACTTCCACCAATCACAGCATGATATCGTCATGCTCCACCCACTTTCACAGCTATCCGCGAATCATTCCAGCCAGGCCACACCCACTTTCCTGGATTTTGCTGCCTGGAAAAAAAAAATCCAGGAAAAACAATTTTTGGAAAAAAATGTTTGAAAAAAATTCAGAAAAAAGTTTAGAAATAAACTGAAAAATAATTTTGTTTTTTAAAATATATATATTTTTTAAAGTTAGATTGTGGTGATGTGTTTAAAAATGAAGTTGAGTTGAAGTGTTCTTTGTAATCAAGCTTTATTTCTTTTGCACAGTAGACAATCACAAAAGCAGAGGAAAAAGTTGCAAGTTGGATGGCAGTCTGCTTGTTGCTGGGCGGCGAAGTGTTCAGCTCTTGAGAAGAACGTGGGACAGGTGTGTTGTCCTGAGGGGAAAGGCATCCATGAGTTACATGCAAGTCAATTTCTTGTGCAGACAAAGATGTGTTGGGCATGAAACTTACCAGGGAGATAAAGTGTTGGGTCTTTCGAGAGCAGGAAGCAGATCATGTTTACTGCTGCCTGGGGGAGAAAAAAAAAGTAAAAAAAGTAGTCATGATGGTGCATTGAACAAGTGTAAATGTCTCCTACTTTTCAGGCTTGCCCAAAGTTTGACTTCAGCACCTTGAGAATAACAGGAAGAAGAGCAAAAAGTGTTTCCTGCAGGTCTGTGCTCGGAGGTGGACTCTGGCGATGAGCAAGTTACTCCCTCTTGTGGCACGGAGGACCCAAGAACAAGCTTCCTTCAACTGAATAATGTAAAGAGGCTTGTTGAAATGAGACTTCTTACCAGCTCGGTTCGCCTGATCACCACGCGAGGTCTTTTACCATTCGGCCATTCTGCTGCGAAAATTTTGAAATTTTTATATGTAGTCAAAGGCAGCCAACCACACGAGGTTTTGAAGGTTCACCTAAGATTTCCTGAGACAAATGTGCAATGTACTTTTATCATTCACATATATGCATTGCAACTGATCCCACTGACTGTACAAAGGCACAAAACCTTAACAAGTAATTGGTCTTGAAAAATATAGCAATGCACTTTTAAGATTAAACGAGATTTATGAAGAAAGGAATTTTTAAACCATTTACAGGAGCATATCAAATCTATATGTAATCCCTGCCTACACCTGACAAACTCAGGAGAGTGCTAAAATATGTGTAAAGAAAAAAGTATTCACATGTCCTTGATAGCGTCTGCTGTGTTGGGTCTGTCTCAGTGACAGACTGAGGCTGCTGTTGTCTTCTTCTCTGATCAAAACAATGTTGTATTTTCCTCTGATCAAAACAGTGTGTCCCACTAGCGGATCTTCCACGAATTGCACCTGATTAAAAATATTCATTCCGTGTCTTTGTGCATTTTTTCCACTTTTAAATTATCCTGTGGGCCGGTTCCAGCCATATGTTATACACCCCTGATGTATAGTAAGGCATTTTTAGTTGAAAAATAATGATCATGTATCCGAAGGCGTTTTAACCCGAAAAAAAACGACCATGTATAATCAGGCGTTTTTAGCCGAAAAAAACGACCATGTACAGTAAGGCGTTTTGAGCCGAAGAAAACGACCATGTATAGTAAACAGTGTTTAGCCGAAAAAAAAACGACCATGTATAGTAAGGCGTTTTGAGCCGAAGAAAACGACCATGTATAGTAAACAGTGTTTAGCCGAAAAAAAAACGACCATGTATAGTAAGGCGTTTTGAGCCGAAGAAAACGACCATGTATAGTAAACAGTGTTTAGCCGAAAAAAAAACGACCATGTATAGTAAGGCGTTTTGAGCCGAAGAAAACGACCATGTATAGTAAACAGTGTTTAGCCGAAAAAAAAACGACCATGTATAGTAAGCCGTTTTTAGCCGAAAAAAAATGATCATGTATAGTAAGGCGTTTTAACCTGAAAAAAATTACCAAATATAGGAAGGCGTTTTTCGCCGAAAAAAACGACCATACATACTAGTAAGCCGTTTTTAGCCGAAAAAAACGACCATGTACAGTAAGGCGTTTTGAGCCGAAGAAAACGACCATGTATAGTAAACAGTGTTTAGCCGAAAAAAAAACGACCATGTATAGCAAGGCGTTTTTCGCCGAAAAAAAACGACCATGTATAGTAAGGCGTTTTGAGCCGCAAAAAACGGCCATGTACAGTAAGGCGTTTTTAGCCGAAAAAAAACGACCATGTATAGTAAGCCGTTTTTAGCCGAAAAAAAACGACCATGTATATTAAGGCATTTTTAGAAAAAAAAAAAAGACCATGGATACTAAGGCATTTTTAGATGAAAAAAACGACCATGTAAATATAGTAAGGCGTTTTTAGAGGAAAAAAACGACCATGTATAGTAAGCCGTTTTTAGCCGAAAAAAAACGACCATGTATAGTAAGGAGTTTTGAGCCGAAAAAAACGACCATGTATAGGAAGCCGTTTTTAGCGGAAAAAAAACGACCATGTATAGTAAGGCGTTTTAACCTGAAAAAAACGACCATATATAGGAAGGCGTTTTTCGCCGAAAAAAACGGCCGTACATAGTATGCCGTTTTTAGCCGAAAAAAACGACCATGTATCGTAAGGCGGTTTGAGCCGAGAAAAACGACCATGTATAGTAAGGCGTTTTTAGCCGAAGAAAACGACCATGGACAGTAAGACGTTTTGAGCCAAAAAAAATGACCATGTATAGCCGTTTTTTTCGGCTCAAAACGCATTACTATACATGGTCGCTTTTTTTGGCTAAAAACGCCTTCCTATACATGGTCGTTTTGTCCGGCTAAAAACGCCTGACTATATATGGTCGTTTTTTTCGCCTAAAAACGCCTTATTATACATGGTCGCTTTTTTTGGCTAAAAACGCCTTCCTATACATGGTCGTTTTGTCCGGCTAAAAACGCCTGACTATATATGGTCGTTTTTTTCGCCTAAAAACGCCTTATTATACATGGTCGCTTTTTTTGGCTAAAAACGCCTTCCTATACATGGTCGTTTTGTCCGGCTAAAAACGCCTGACTATATATGGTCGTTTTTTTCGCCTAAAAACGCCTTATTATACATGGTCGCTTTTTTTGGCTAAAAACGCCTTCCTATACATGGTCGTTTTGTCCGGCTAAAAACGCCTGACTATATATGGTCGTTTTTTTCGCCTAAAAACGCCTTATTATACATGGTCGCTTTTTTTGGCTAAAAACGCCTTCCTATACATGGTCGTTTTGTCCGGCTAAAAACGCCTGACTATATATGGTCGTTTTTTTCGCCTAAAAACGCCTTATTATACATGGTCGCTTTTTTTGGCTAAAAACGCCTTCCTATACATGGTCGTTTTGTCCGGCTAAAAACGCCTGACTATATATGGTCGTTTTTTTCGCCTAAAAACGCCTTATTATACATGGTCGCTTTTTTTGGCTAAAAACGCCTTCCTATACATGGTCGTTTTGTCCGGCTAAAAACGCCTGACTATATATGGTCGTTTTTTTCGCCTAAAAACGCCTTATTATACATGGTCGCTTTTTTTGGCTAAAAACGCCTTCCTATACATGGTCGTTTTGTCCGGCTAAAAACGCCTGACTATATATGGTCGTTTTTTTCGCCTAAAAACGCCTTATTATACATGGTCGCTTTTTTTGGCTAAAAACGCCTTCCTATACATGGTCGTTTTGTCCGGCTAAAAACGCCTGACTATATATGGTCGTTTTTTTCGCCTAAAAACGCCTTATTATACATGGTCGCTTTTTTTGGCTAAAAACGCCTTCCTATACATGGTCGTTTTGTCCGGCTAAAAACGCCTGACTATATATGGTCGTTTTTTTCGCCTAAAAACGCCTTATTATACATGGTCGCTTTTTTTGGCTAAAAACGCCTTCCTATACATGGTCGTTTTGTCCGGCTAAAAACGCCTGACTATATATGGTCGTTTTTTTCGCCTAAAAACGCCTTATTATACATGGTCGCTTTTTTTGGCTAAAAACGCCTTCCTATACATGGTCGTTTTGTCCGGCTAAAAACGCCTGACTATATATGGTCGTTTTTTTCGCCTAAAAACGCCTTATTATACATGGTCGCTTTTTTTGGCTAAAAACGCCTTCCTATACATGGTCGTTTTGTCCGGCTAAAAACGCCTGACTATATATGGTCGTTTTTTTCGCCTAAAAACGCCTTATTATACATGGTCGCTTTTTTTGGCTAAAAACGCCTTCCTATACATGGTCGTTTTGTCCGGCTAAAAACGCCTGACTATATATGGTCGTTTTTTTCGCCTAAAAACGCCTTATTATACATGGTCGCTTTTTTTGGCTAAAAACGCCTTCCTATACATGGTCGTTTTGTCCGGCTAAAAACGCCTGACTATATATGGTCGTTTTTTTCGCCTAAAAACGCCTTATTATACATGGTCGCTTTTTTTGGCTAAAAACGCCTTCCTATACATGGTCGTTTTGTCCGGCTAAAAACGCCTGACTATATATGGTCGTTTTTTTCGCCTAAAAACGCCTTATTATACATGGTCGCTTTTTTTGGCTAAAAACGCCTTCCTATACATGGTCGTTTTGTCCGGCTAAAAACGCCTGACTATATATGGTCGTTTTTTTCGCCTAAAAACGCCTTATTATACATGGTCGCTTTTTTTGGCTAAAAACGCCTTCCTATACATGGTCGTTTTGTCCGGCTAAAAACGCCTGACTATATATGGTCGTTTTTTTCGCCTAAAAACGCCTTATTATACATGGTCGCTTTTTTTGGCTAAAAACGCCTTCCTATACATGGTCGTTTTGTCCGGCTAAAAACGCCTGACTATATATGGTCGTTTTTTTCGCCTAAAAACGCCTTATTATACATGGTCGCTTTTTTTGGCTAAAAACGCCTTCCTATACATGGTCGTTTTGTCCGGCTAAAAACGCCTGACTATATATGGTCGTTTTTTTCGCCTAAAAACGCCTTATTATACATGGTCGCTTTTTTTGGCTAAAAACGCCTTCCTATACATGGTCGTTTTGTCCGGCTAAAAACGCCTGACTATATATGGTCGTTTTTTTCGCCTAAAAACGCCTTATTATACATGGTCGCTTTTTTTGGCTAAAAACGCCTTCCTATACATGGTCGTTTTGTCCGGCTAAAAACGCCTGACTATATATGGTCGTTTTTTTCGCCTAAAAACGCCTTATTATACATGGTCGCTTTTTTTGGCTAAAAACGCCTTCCTATACATGGTCGTTTTGTCCGGCTAAAAACGCCTGACTATATATGGTCGTTTTTTTCGCCTAAAAACGCCTTATTATACATGGTCGCTTTTTTTGGCTAAAAACGCCTTCCTATACATGGTCGTTTTGTCCGGCTAAAAACGCCTGACTATATATGGTCGTTTTTTTCGCCTAAAAACGCCTTATTATACATGGTCGCTTTTTTTGGCTAAAAACGCCTTCCTATACATGGTCGTTTTGTCCGGCTAAAAACGCCTGACTATATATGGTCGTTTTTTTCGCCTAAAAACGCCTTATTATACATGGTCGCTTTTTTTGGCTAAAAACGCCTTCCTATACATGGTCGTTTTGTCCGGCTAAAAACGCCTGACTATATATGGTCGTTTTTTTCGCCTAAAAACGCCTTATTATACATGGTCGCTTTTTTTGGCTAAAAACGCCTTCCTATACATGGTCGTTTTGTCCGGCTAAAAACGCCTGACTATATATGGTCGTTTTTTTCGCCTAAAAACGCCTTATTATACATGGTCGCTTTTTTTGGCTAAAAACGCCTTCCTATACATGGTCGTTTTGTCCGGCTAAAAACGCCTGACTATATATGGTCGTTTTTTTCGCCTAAAAACGCCTTATTATACATGGTCGCTTTTTTTGGCTAAAAACGCCTTCCTATACATGGTCGTTTTGTCCGGCTAAAAACGCCTGACTATATATGGTCGTTTTTTTCGCCTAAAAACGCCTTATTATACATGGTCGCTTTTTTTGGCTAAAAACGCCTTCCTATACATGGTCGTTTTGTCCGGCTAAAAACGCCTGACTATATATGGTCGTTTTTTTCGCCTAAAAACGCCTTATTATACATGGTCGCTTTTTTTGGCTAAAAACGCCTTCCTATACATGGTCGTTTTGTCCGGCTAAAAACGCCTGACTATATATGGTCGTTTTTTTCGCCTAAAAACGCCTTATTATACATGGTCGCTTTTTTTGGCTAAAAACGCCTTCCTATACATGGTCGTTTTGTCCGGCTAAAAACGCCTGACTATATATGGTCGTTTTTTTCGCCTAAAAACGCCTTATTATACATGGTCGCTTTTTTTGGCTAAAAACGCCTTCCTATACATGGTCGTTTTGTCCGGCTAAAAACGCCTGACTATATATGGTCGTTTTTTTCGCCTAAAAACGCCTTATTATACATGGTCGCTTTTTTTGGCTAAAAACGCCTTCCTATACATGGTCGTTTTGTCCGGCTAAAAACGCCTTACTATACATAGTCGTTTTTTTCAGTTTAACCTGAAAGTCATTGAAGCTCGTCAACTGAATATTACCGTCATAGTTGTTGTCGTGCATTAGAATAACACCACTTAGTTTTACTTTTAGTTGATTTTGCTGTTAAATTACCTTACCATTACAGGGCCTTTTAAACTTTTTAAGATCCACATGCGACTTACTTCGGACTCGGGCATCATCCTTTTGCCGTCAAATCCGGCGCAACGTGACTTGCCTAAACCTACCTTTCCCTGAATCGGCCTCCTCCGGGTCTGCAGCTGGACCCTTCTCCCACTGCCAAACCTCGCTTCAGACACGTGGGAAAAGAGAGAGCGACATCGAGGGGGGGGGGTAGAAAGCGAGAGCGAGAGAGAGAGAGAGAGAGAGAGAGAGAGAGAGAGAGAGAGAGAGAGAGAGAGAGAGAGAGAGAAAGAAAAAGAGAGCGCGCGCGACAGAGCCGGCTCTCATCGTTCACTTCAAAGAGCCGGCTCTTTTTACCGGCTCGTTCGCGACCGACACATCACTAATCAACACAAAACAATGACAGTGACGCTTCCCTCAGCCTCTGCGAGTGGCTCGATTCGCAGCATGTGTTCACATCCTAATTACTTACCAGGCGAGGGGATTCATTGTGAGGCTTGTTGGGGGAAAAGTGGCTGCTAATCAATCCGTGTATTATACCTGAGCCTGTTGGTCAGCATCCAAATGTGTCGGACCGCTCCGTTTAATTAGCTTCTCGCTTTTTCCTGCGTGTCTATCAATGTCGTCCAATTACACTCCTGTAATTACCACGTTGTTGTTTTGTCGCCCTTGATGGGAACAAGCAACGTTCACATGAAGTACATTGTTGGGGTGTCTAGCCAAAAATGTGA